GAGGAGAGGCTACGGGACCTGAACCTGTTCAGCCTCCACAAGAGAAGGCTGAGGGGGGATCTAGTGGCCTGTTACAAACTAGTCAGAGGGGACCAGCAGGCATTGGGGGAGTCCCTGTTCCCCCAAGTACTACCAGGAGTGACTAGAAATAATGGTCACAAGCTGGCAGAGGGTAGATTTAGACTAGACATCAGGAGGCGCTACTTCATTGTCAGGGCGGCTAGGATCTGGAACCAGCTTCCAAGCGAAGTGGTGCTGGCTCCTACCCTGGGGGTCTTTAAGAAGAAGCTAGAAGAACACCTTGCTGGGGTCGTTTGACCCCAGTACTCTTTCCTGCCATGGCAGGGGGTCAGACTTGATGATCTGCTTAGGTCCCTTCCGATCCTACCAACTATGAAACTATCAAAGGAGAAAATATTTTTTCTTGAGCAGGAATAGCTTTGTTTGTTTGGTTTTTTTCCTTTAAAAAAAAATTACTGTTGTTGCTGCCAGTTCAGTTCTAAAGGTTAAAACTTTATTTGTAAATTGAATAAAGTAGTAATAGTGGTATTTGATCCATACTAGTGCTCCAAGAAGTATTACCATTAAGAAGTTTACTGTTTCTACATTGATGGAGTTTAAAGCCTCTTCCAGATGTGCAGGCAAATGCGTAATAGGATCTGATATGCAATCAACACCATGCACACAGGCATGGCAGGAAGCATGTCAATATGGATTGTGCATCAGATCCCATAATGCATTATTTCCAGTGCAGGGGGAGCCTGATCCAGGGCTCCTGCTGCTCCAGCTAGTAGCAAGCTCCCATGGCTGAGAGGGCTGCCAGCCACAGGAGTACATCAGGCAGGCTGGGAGTCTGGTACGTCCCTGTGACTGGGAGCCCAGATCGTTGGTGGGTCTCTCAGTCACAGGGGCACACCTGGCCACATGTTCAATTGATGGCATGATAGGAAACAGCCACAAAGTTATGCATTTTTTGTGGAATAACTTCATGGCTGTTAATCATGTCTTAAGTGTAATGTGTGGCAGGGGTGGAAACAACCCCAAACCAGTGCAGATTATGCAGCACTAGTATAACAAGTTCTCAGTCCTGAATTGACGCATAGGTACAAGGCATCATGGGTGACTGGTGTCGCCTTAGTCAGGGGGGACACATGCTCCCCCCCATGATGATTCAATGACCAGGGTGTGTGTCCCCCCCCTCCCACCCCCCTGCAGCTGATCGAGAGAAGGCCAATTGCTGTGCCGGCTTCTGGGAGTGGCTGCAGCTGCTTCTAGGAGTGCAGCAATGCTTCATTCCCCGGCCAGCACTTGCAGGGGGGCACCAGCACTCCTGCCTGCCCCTTGTGCCCGTTGCCTAAGCAGCGAACGCAGCCAGTCAGGGGTTGCACCAGCGCTTTCTTGGCGTGCATGTGCACCGCTGTGCACCCCCTATGTATTGCCACTGCAAAGCATCTGTGTTTTTTGCGCAAGCTTTGCTTTAAATGGTTTAGCTGTGGAGTCTTTTGTGGAAATTGGTGTACTAGTCTAACTTGGTGATAAAGATAGCATAACTGATATCAGGCTGCCATCATGCAGGATCTTCCTCACCAAAACCATGGAAAAAAATGACTTCTCACCAACAGCAATCCTACTTCCTGGTTAGCTCCCCTTTCCACTTTGAAATTTTCAGCTCTTTCTGACTTAGGTCTCACTCAGATTCTCTCTGGTGCAGTGTGAACCATCTAATTAATGCAGCCTGATGGCGCAGAGATGGGGTTTCCACATTTTGGGCATGTTAACGTTTTGTGTTACTTATTTTAAACAGCATATGTTCTTAGGAACAGTTTAAGGAAATGTTACAGTTTGCCCATATTAACTTCATAAATACATTATTGTGTTTATGGAATGCTGGCTTTGTTCCTACTGGGACTCCTTGGTTAATCTGTATTTCTGGCAATATCCAGCTGCATTCACCAGGAACCTGCCTCCTGTAAATGGCAACGCTGCTCTTTGGTGAGCAGATAGTGTCTGAAAAGGCAGTGTGCAAATACTTCCTCCATAAGTGAGAGGGCTATCTTGATTTTTCTACACCTATTGATTGGCATTGCCAATAGCATAGCCTCTATGATAATCCCTAAAGCCTTTTGACCAGCCAACACTTCTGGTACACACTGGACTATTTTACAAGCAGAAATGGCTAGTTTAATTTCCATTTAGTTAGTATGTTTCTCATTTGTGGGTAAACGCATTAAAAGATTATTTGGCGGGACCAGAAATATGTCTTACATTAATTCCTTCTTTAAATAGTAAAGGCTCATTTGCTGACAAAAGATAAGGAG